TCGAACTATGTGAGCTAATGAGTCGATTATCTAGATTATGGGTACGGGGACTATATGTCGCGCGGTTAGTTCTACCCCGCGCTGTCCCCCCCCCCCTCCAAATCTGTATGCCTGTAATGTGTCGCGCTGCGCGCTCTGTCGCAGATGCCCGCGTCGACATATAATCCTGACCCGAAACTTATGTGCATGAGGGTTGAAAAGATATTTCGAATTATGTCAGAGCAATAAAAATTGGTGAAAACAAAGCAAATAACTTGTATTGATCTGACATCTCGGTCTGATCGGGTAAGAAGAACTCATCTGCTTCGCTTATTCATTTTCACCTAAGGCTTGGATGCCATGAGTTTTGGAATCATTGTTTGAAGACGGATAGTTATTCTTTGTTGCATCACTTTTAGCCAAGGCGAACAAGGGCCACTACATTACCCTGTACTCATTTTTTTGCATACGAATTTTGCGAATTTTTTTTGCGAGTGTCGATTTTACGAATTCTATTTAGCACTCTTTGCAAGCATTTGAAGTGTTGTAAGCTAAGCAAACTTGTCATCATGTTTTGGTAGTCGAAGGAGACAATCTGTACATATCGCGAACGATAATAAAATTTTTGTGGTAGTACAGGTATTAGCTGGTCCCTGAGCAATTGCAATTTTGTCTACTCTGCACTCAGATCGTCGGAAATATGCACTTTACACTGCAACGAGCTTGCAATGTCAACACTGCTCTCGGAGTTTGGGATCTTCTTGCGTTTCATTTCTTCCCTCAAAAGGCTTATTTTTGAAGTTTGCAGATAGTATACTCACGAGTATGTTTGACAACTCTGCGTTTTAGCATTTCAATTTTTGAAAAAGTACGGTGTAAAGAGGAATGCAAAAATAAAACTTTACGAACACAGATGTAATGATGTTGGAAAACATTTTGAAAAAAGTGGCACACATATGTCTACACTCGCTAAACCTTGAAAATCTCTTGTGGTCTCCTCCACGTGAAGACTTCTTATATTAGGTCGTTCCGAAAGTAATGTCGCTTTTTTCAAGTGAACGCTGCATTTCGAGAAAGCAAGATTTCTAGGAGATCATGGTGGCATTCGATGCAGCATTTCATTCTCTTTCTAAAGATTATGTGAGCATTGCACAATACTCGATAAGCTCCAAAAAACTAACCAAAACCTGCGACCCATGCTTTTGAGAAGGTCAAGTTTCACAATTTTTCTAAATTTTTACAACAATCCCTCGAAGAAGTCCAAATAACAGGTGGATTGAGCAAACCCTATAGGAAACAGCACGATTTTTTTCTGCTTTCCATAGCTCGTCATGATCTTTGTAGAGTTTTTCCAATAGATCACCGAATTTTAGCAGGCTTCTCTCAGACACAAACATCAAACACCAATAGATTTTCGGATTTCGAAACTTACAAAGATGCATTATGGTTTGGCACCAATTTTAGAAAGCAGATGAGCGTTTACCGCTTCGGATTAGCAATTTTCGGAAATTCCGGGTACACCATGGGGAGCCCTGGAAAACCTGAATTATGATGATTTTATCCCGGAATCGGAAACCAAAAACAACTGGTAAAAAGAGGGGAAAAAGCTGTGTCGAATGACACCGGAGTTGCTTGCCGGTTGTTGTTCTGTGAGGTTTGAATTGACCAAATATGGAATTTGATATCATTGAAAATTTGATTTTGAAAAGTACAAATATACAGGGTGTCCCAAAAGTATGTATCGAACGTTTGATCGTTAATATCTCTCTTCCCAAGAAGTCTTTTGCCTTGCTTCAAGTACCATTTTGTAGAGCTAGCTTCAACTTAGATTTGCATTATAGAACGAATCACTCATTCCTCTTCATTACTGTAGGATTACGGTAGAAACTTCAAAGAGGGTTTTAAGCAATGAAAGGCCATATTTTGCCTTAGAAAGGAAATAAAACAGCCTGAAAGTTTTCACACTAGGCTAATTAGAGTTGCTGATTATAACTGTAAAGTTCCCAACTTATTATGATGCTTCATTGAGGAGTTATGCCAGGTAAGAGGTAGCGGCCATTTTTTCAATGTTCCTAAAAAGTGCGATTACACCGTTTAGAAAGCTTTGTAATCTTGTGAATAGTTGAGTATTGAACTCAGCATCCATAAAAACCCTATTACACAAGTTTTCACAATTTTTTGAAGAATTTTGGAACTGCAGCTTTTTCCACATTGACACCATATGTTTCAAGTTTCTACCGTAATCCTACAGTAATGAAGAGAGATGGGTGATTCGTTCTTTAATGCAAATCTAAGTTGAAGCCAGCTCTACAAAATGGTACTTGAAGCAAGGCAAAAGACTTCTTGGGAAGAGAGATATTAACGATCAAACGTTCGATACATACTTTTGGGACACCCTGTATAGAAAAATATCAGTACAAAAATATAGAAAAATACCCGAACTTGACCATAACAAAAAGCATGAGTCACAAGTTTTGGTATTTTTTTGGGATCTCATTGAATATTATGCAACAAAATTACGACCATTAGAAAGAGGACGAAGTGCTGCATCGACTGATTCCAAGAGCTCTTGAAAATCCTAGCTCCACGAAATGTGGCGTTCATTTGAAAAAGCGACATTGCTTTTGGAACGACCTAATAAATTATTTATCTCTATGTGTAGAGAAAGAGATATGCACAGCAAAGCTTCCTCCCTTTTTTGTTTATCTCTCCTCATTTCGTACACTGAAATCCGTCAGATACGCACTCGTGTTGCAAGAGCCTTAGTCTTCGAAGATCACTGAGTAACGAAAAGATAATGGATATATGGAAATGTAGATAGAACAAGCTGTAGAAACTTACCTGTTTTATAACTCACGGAGACAAACATTCCAAGACCCATTTCCGGGACGGCGTTCGCCACCTCTCAAGATTCTAAGCCAGCTCCCAAGAATTCAAAATCTACCCAATCCAAATTTTCTAAGGATTAATTTATTACTTAAAACTTTCTCAATTCTTTATGGGCGGGACAATAATACCTTACATACTCCTTATGACAAATGGGAAATCCACTAGGCGGGCTTGACGATGGTTCAAGCATGCATCTGTTTTCACCAACCATCATCACTGTAATGCAATAATTAAATCAGAATTGCTTTATCTTTCGATTTCTTGAATCCTCGCAATAGCCAAAGTGTGCTCTGTACGCAGGCACAATTTTCAAGAGTTTACTCGATTCTTCAGAATCTTTTCTCATATTTTGAAATTGAGCATCAAAGTAGAAGCAAGTCTTTGCCTCTAACATTATTGAGTAAGGGACTTTAGACATTGATTTCGAAGATGGGTGGTTCTCAGTTTTTCAAATTATGCTTAGAGGCCGTATATCAAATCAGTGGTATGTTGGCCCTATTGGGTGCGCATGCGAATCAGAAAATGTCCTCTCCATTTTCACTGACTGGCCGTGATAGGTGCTATTCTATATGTCTCACAGATATAGTGGTGTTCTTTACCTAGAAGGTTTCGCATGTCTGAGATCTCACAGTCAATTTTAAGCATAAATGGTTGCTCGTATGCATGTAATTTTCGCAACTACATTTTTGTATCTCGTAAAAGAACAAATTCTTTTGAATACAACCAGGACAACGTGATAGTGTAAAGTGTGCTCTACAAACCCAGCTAGGTATGGTCCGAAAAGACTTTGATTCATTCATGTGCAGAGCAATGTATAAAGTTATACACATACCATTTTTGCTTTCTTCAAAACTGCTATGACTCTTCTAATATCCTCAAATTCTTGACAAAAGCAGTCTTTTTACAATCTGTAAAATATCTGTTGTAGAGTTTCACTAAGGTAGACATAAATTGAGCTTATCTATATTTATCAGTGGTTTTTTCGTGGGAGTGCTGCAAAGATGGAGCCGGTAATCTTGGCGCACCTTGTATATATACAATCTCGTCCATAACAGCTATGAAGCCAAAACCATAGCCTTATTCTCTTTCTAACATACTGTACAGATAGCAAAGACATTCCTGGATGATATGTAATGTTTCAATGTACTGCTTTTTCGGTGTAGAGCTTCCAGTTTTGTTTGCCTGTACATCTAAGCCGTTCCTGATGCATTGTTGTCCAGGGAACTTCATAATGCAATAACGGCACGCTTTGTACTGCTTATAACATCAAGATAGATTGTCTAGTCGATGTTTTGAATGTGCAGTGTTCAACAAATCATCACCTGCGTCTGAGATCATTTTGCAAGCCTTAGATGGCCTTTACAAATCTGGTTTGTTTTCCTGACATTAGATACTTCAACAATCAATACCCAAGTTGTGTTCTTCTTGAGCCAATATTGTTAACACTTTTTTTGGTCAGACTAACATTTCGGTGCCGTCACCTTCGTCGGAGCATCGGCAGTCTTCAGGTCTAGGACTGAGTTACCAACACACAGTCTGCACAGTTAGTAAACATCCTACCTGGACAAAAGAATTAAGATAGCCATCATCATCAACCTGTTGCAAATTTGCACGTCACGTAAGAACTTGCAGGCGATTAAAATCTACTGAAATCCACTTGCCTTGTTTTCAAAATACAAGAAAGCCTGTTGAGAAAGATAGTTCATTGTCATGAGCAGTATTGTACAGCAAGAAAAAAACACGCAAAAGTGAGTAAACAATGAATAAACGATGTACACAGGTGAATGAACCCACCACGGGCATTTGCAGAAAAATTGCTGTATTCTAACTCATACAAACAGTCTTCTTCTTTCACTTCTCATTTGTGAAAAATACATCGACAACTCGAATAAATGAAATGCTAAAGCAACCATCAAAAAATCGCAAATAATGGGTGATCGAGAAAGGGTTTCGAAAAGAAAAGCACAAAATGTTCAGAAACACACGGGTGGAGATGGAATGGGTGGAGAAAGTCTGTGATCACGGACGTGCATCACATAAGAGGCTGGACGTAAAGCGACTGAGTAAGCAGGTGACGTCATTAACAATGCCTTGAGCTTGATGGATTTTTAAAGAATTCAGAAGGGGTAAATCCCCCGATCAAATGGCTCGAAGCTGACCATCAATGACGTTCAGATCATATAACGGCATTTAGATTCCACACATCACTATTCAGGGTACGACCAATTGTGCTGGGAGGGTGCAGACAGTTAGAGACGCGCACAAAACCCTGCGTCTCTACTCGTTGGTTGTATCGATGGGCATGGAGCAAAGAACATACAAGAATAATCAACAATGACATATATGCATCGGAAATTGTTTTCCAACCGAGGATGTGTGAGGAAAAATACATAGGAACTCGTCTTTGAACTACCTGATTCGATTTGATCTACAGTCATTAATTACAGAAGTTGCGGACTACCATAGTTCGAAATATAGCGTTCGTGCATACAACAGGGTCTTTTCTAGCAAATAATGCTTACGATAGACAAGAAATTACACAACATCCGGCTATAAATCGCGGCGGTAGATCATCGCCTATAAACAAAGTATGTACACAATTGAAGGGTGCGCAAAGCGAAAGTATGGGCGTATTGTGTATGTGTGGAGAAGGACTCGAGCCGCGACAACTGAAAGACTGGCGGGAAATTCAAACATAAGAAGAAGAAAAAAACGTTCGATCGCTAATGTAGCGGCATCACGGTATGCTGCGCATACGCTACGCATACATACACGTGAAAATCGATAAGTCGTCTACAATCGATTAACATTGTATAAAGAACACACAGAAAATTGAAGGGGAAGTAACAGGAGAAAGCTGCAAAAGACTGCAATTATTTCGGACACATAATGGCACATAGAAGCTTGAATTAATTATCGCGACAACGATAAAACGTGCTTACGCAACGCAACAGCGCGCTTGCATGCGCGAGCACAATGTCGACGTAGTTCACTCAGTCAGATCGATTTCCGCTTTTTACCATCTTCCCATTGATTGTCCTTCACCATATGTGCTAGTTCGATGATAAACTTCCCCTCCTTGTACTTTTGACTCGACTCAAAAGCATGTTCCTGAAAAATTTAAATATAAATTTACGATGGTAAGATGCCATATAATTTACGAATCTTATGAAAATTATCAGCGATATGCAGCATGAAGACTGATTCTGTTTAGTATCAAATAGAAAGTTGTGAGAAAACATTATGCCAACCGAGCAGTCAATATTAAAGAATGCGCATGAGTTTTGCTAAAGCATGACATCTAGAAAATTTATATGACAGCAATCAAAAAGCTGCAAAATTTTGGAAAAAATGCATAACCCCTTTTTTCCAACTTCTCAGAATCTCTCACATGTTTCGCTGGGAATGTCTAACTTTACCAACTTTTTCGAATTTTTCTTTTTCACAAATTTCGTCCTTTCTCCTACCCCTTCTCTCTTCTCTGAATGCAGTCTATCAATGTTCCTCAAAATTCCCCTTTTTTTCTTCATTCCCTCATTCCAAAATCTCCATTGTGAACTTTTCCTATCGGCCAATTCCGTAATATTCACACATCAACACATAAGTAAATAATAAGGTTATTGGATATTTGATTGCATTACTGACGCGGAAGTACTGAGAATATATGATTCACTCACAGAGTATTAGTGCGAATGATGGACATGGGCAAGTTTAGATGAAGCATAAAGGAGAGCTGCGTATGGATAGGAAGATAGGATAGACACCAAAAATAGACACTATTTCAAATAGTACGGTGAATGAGTATTTCGTTTATAAATCACGTGTCACCCAAAAATACTCGTTTGTTTGGTATAATGTCCCTTGCTATTGATGGAATCCATTCAATCTCTATCAACAGCTTCCAATTAAAAATCTTCTGAATCACATGAAAGTCGTCAAAACACAAAGAAACAAAATACGAAGATTGTGCAAATACTACAATACAACTTGTATTTTCAAAAAATCATGTCAAAAGTCTGCGATAGGGAAAAACCAATTATAATAGATATAGCGTTATTGTTAGAAACAGGGCACGGCATGGCTTATAAGCAAGCAGAATATCGTTTTTGGAACGAAAAAGCAGGAAATATCGTGGGTCCGAAATTAATTTTTTTTCACTCGGCGTTACGTTTTGTTAGTCGATTCGGAAATTCGGATGAAGGACAATGGGAACTTCGTAAAATTTTGCGAAAGTCAGGGGGACTTCGTTTTTTGCGTTTTCGGAAAGCCACCTCGTGCCGACCCCTGGGTTGAAATATGGTTCCAAGCACTGAAAGTGTCATTGTCCCCCATATTCCATTCTACAATTCGTGCGCAGCTTCGGGAATAAAATGAAGGTTCATTTTTTTGCCAATAAATGAAACCGCTAAAAATTTTTTTTGTAAAATTTCAATCAAACTGTTTTCTATTTTCGGTATGATGATGTTAACGTTAACGAAATTAATAAAGTAAACATACTGGGACAAAAACAAGCCAAGGAAATTAAGGTAACAAACAAATTAGAGATTTTTGAAGGAATTCGAGTTTCTGTTGAATGGATATAGTTGCACCAACAAATACTTTTGAAAAATTCGTTTAAAATGCTCGAATAAATATTCTTAAGTCATCTAGTTTCTGTAACATATAAAAGTTGTATCTTATCATACGTATCGAACTTTTTCAATTTGAAAGCAAAAAGTTTGTTAAAATATTCAGATACTATAAGTATTCGTAGAGACATCCGATTACCACAAATTTTCCTCACCTGGAAAGGCATGCCATGAAACCAAACAAAACTAAAGGGAATTCAATAGAGTTTTAGTAATTTTAGCTAGCAAAATCTAAAAAACTATTTTTTCAAGCGTTTTTCTCTAAAAACTTCCACCACTGCGATATGGCAATATTTTGCTTGAAGTACTGCTGGAAAATTGAAGTTTCTCTGTCTATTGCGTACGAAAGTAAAAGATTTAATGGACGTTGGGGAAGGAATTATCTAAATTTCTGGTAGAAGGCTTATGTATCAACCTGACGCATGGTTTTCTCCCCAATCTATTCCCTCCGTTCAAACTTCCAAGTAAGCTCTTTACCCTACAAGAGGTTCGAACTCAAAACTTGTTTATGCTTGCTTTACTAGTTGAATGTGTCTCGCCAGCGGCTGTGCCATGTCAGGTGATTGCTCTATTTTTTGAGTCCGAGTTTGCACTATAGCGTAGTAGTGTCACGCGCTCTCCCATGTGATTCCAATAAGCCCCCGCAATTTAGAATGTGCCGGGCACAAAATTATTGTTGTTTAGTCGAAATGGACGGATAGTACAGCAGCATCAGTAGCGCATTTTAGTGATTAATTGCGTCCCCCCCCCCTCAATATTTGGACCGAAAGGACTAACGTCTGACTCGGGAAAGCCACAAACAGAATCCAATTTTGTCGGCAAGATTACCTTGTTTTCGTCCCCGGATGCGGCTTTCAATTTTGCCTCTACTGCTAGACACGAGTATTTTCGCAATTTTTACGAAATCTGAACAGCTCTCAACGGCTGGCCGTGCGGCTCATTCACTAAGTGCTGTCTAACGATGTTTGTCGGTGCGAGCCACTGCCAGCCGTTTGCAAACGGCTCTCAACGCGTCCCCTGAGATTTTTGCTTTTGTGCCCCAGTCAGAGCTCGAATGGCTTTTTTCGTGGACGAGAACGCCTAAAGACGAGAAAAACACGAACTCGGACATTCTAATGCAAAAGTTCGTGCGCCAAAAATTGCTTGTCCTGACGCGGGCACATTTTGATGTAGAGCGCGCGCACGCGACGACAACGAACATCGCAGACGCATAATTGATGATTGAATTGGAGCGCCGAATTTCCATTCTGATAGCTGTCTGCCCATAGTGCAAGGTCAACTAGTTTCTTTGAAGATACGACTGAGGAGTGCAAATCATTAAAGCAAGGATAAATTATCCATTCTTTAGGGCAAATCAAAAAAGTTCACGCCAATTCACAATAAGTAATAGAATCACAAAAAATAAAATGAAATGTAGAAAATGTAAGACAAAGTTAACAACCCAAAGAAAATTACTTTCATAACATCTATCCGCATGTTAAAAAGAAAAAGCACTCAGAATCGTTGAATCAAAGCTATTTTCTTCCGCATTTTTAATAAAATAAAATTCCTGGTAGAGAGGAGCTGTTCATAATCGTCCCCATTCCAGTGGACGCTTGGTGGACGAATATGAATTTGAAGGAGCAAGCCGTTCGCGGTAGAGAGCGGTATTCTCAGGCCACATTCTGATTTGTCTTAGATGGTGTCGCGCTCTATCGCGACGGCGCGCTCCAGCACAAGCTCAAGATTGCCAACCACGTTTCTATTGGGTTGAGGACGGCTATATAAACTTTAAGCAATGCCACCAGCAGCTATTATATTGATAAAAGCGATTGAGATGAAAGGTGGGTGTTAACAGAAGAGTATTACCGTGCTACTGATACCATACATGCTCGATGGACGTAATTACAGACAAGATTTCTGAATCTTGGTTCTGCACTCTAATGCAACACTATTCGCAGACGTTCATCAACCCCAAGCCGCAGATTAGAAAACAGCTGATCCACCCAACATCCATGGAAAGCTCTTTGTGCGAAAAATGTCTGCTGTTCTTGCGTCAACAACATCGCAAGCTTTCCCGAATGAGTACAGTAATTTATCCCTACGTCTCAGCAGCACTAGCTTCTTCAGCTTCAAGAACGTCGAAAGAAAATAATGCACATATTTCCCATTTCCCCATGATGAAAAACGCGAGAGCGTAAAAAGATTACAACAATGGAGAACAATGGCAAGACGACGCACATTGTATTCCGGTTGCACTCTTGAGAGGGTATTCTGGGAAACGAACCTTTTTTCTCTCTCTATTGCGAGAGTTGTCCTTACACAAAGAATAGAAAAAATGAGGACTGAGGAAGGAGGCAAAATATCGGAGTTCGAAAGTGGCCTCAGGAAAAAAAATTGGGTGAGGAAATATTGTAAGGATCCACCTATAAGTTGGAAAGTAAGAATTCCAGAATTTGTTTTCACGCCTATTCTATCCCTTGCCCTTACTTGCCCAATCCCCACTCATTTTTTCTGCTATTGTAAATGGATATCAATTGAAAACGTTGAGACCAGAAAACTGTTTTCCCCTTAGTTTTTGAAGTTACATAGAGGAGTTATAAAACTGCGCAAGTGACTAGTTTTTACTCGTAAAAAGTTGAAATAATTCTTTAAAATTTTCAAAAATCTAAATCAGCTTTGTAGAAATCCTTTATGGGGTGGTCACTTAATTTCTGTACAGCCCCTCTGCCCCCCCCCCTACCCTCTCCCCCTCCTTGAAAAAAATCTTCACCGCTACTGGTAATCAGATATCCGATAAAAACGCGAGAATTTCAAATAATTATCATCCAACCTATTCTTCTTCCCCCCCCCCTCACTCATTCTTTTCCTCGTCCAATCTCTACCCTTTTTGCTAGTATTTCGAATAAATATTAGGTGAAAGAGTCAGAATTCCAGAAAGTTATTCCCCGACCATTCACTCCCCCCCCCCCCCCTCCTCCTCCTCAATCTTCCCCTCCTTGCTCAAACCCGGACTCATTTACCTGATAAAGCCACATAAAGTGAATAGAAATGAGATACGTGAAGATGTATAAAATTATTTTTCTCGCCCATTTTCTGCCTCCCCCCCCCCCCCCGTCCAATCCTTAACAATTTTCCTGGCTTGGGCACTCTCTCTTTTACCCTCCTCCTCCCCTCTTCCTGTCCTTTTCCTACTACTCGTTCCATCAAAACCATTCAAAATAATACCAAATGTCGCCAGAACGATTCCTCTAACGAACGTCGCCGCTCGGACGAGTTATCGCGATGTTTTCCTGCTTTTCCCAATGTGCCATGCATATCGACTAGTCAGCACAGCAGCACTAGCGGTGTGCGAAAGCACAACTAATTTGAGCAGCAGCAGTCCATGGCACAAGGCACAAGCTTTCACACCGTGTTATTTACGACTTGGAGTGAAGATTTGGACAGCTCTCAGTCTCAAGGTACAAATATTTGCTTAGAGTACGAGTTGTCACACTCTTCGAACAGATGACTAGGTGATCGACACCAATAAATCAGTAGTAATTGTCTTTGTTATCTATGAATTAGTGTTATTTGCTGCGTTAAAGTAGAAAGTAATGTGCTCCTCTTTTCACAAAGGACTGCACTATTTTCTTCGTAGAACCAAGCACTTTAGAACCCATTTGAAAAAGATTTACTACTGGTTGGATGAAAAAGCTACAGTAATCTAGTGGGTGCTTATCGCGCAAGAGCATAAAACAGTTCTAGAGCATATTATTTGTTAGGAAGATAGAATTTCTGTGCCCAAAAAATATTGTCTTTAATACAATTCTTCTCGGGTTTTCTAAATATTCTTGGAAAACAAAAATAATGATAAATTTAAAAAAAATATTTGTGACTTACGTATTTCCAACCAAGTGTCGTCTTACAACACTGGCAATAGATATCGGCTACAGCATGAAGGCCTGTTAGTAAAACTCGCTCCTCAGCCGGTCCTGTCCCGATATTTACACTAAAGGGAAATATTGCTCATTTTTTCAACAAAAAGAGCAGAAAATGCGTTTTTTGGACCTCCCGAAAAGATACTCTGAAACAGGAAAACAAACGGATTCAATGAAAAAATGATTAAAAAATTCAGGATGATTTAAATTTATCATCTTCTGATGTTAATATTATAAACTAATTTTCAAAATGAAGAAAAACTTACACTGAATTGAAGAGATAAGCTTTGCCTTGACTTCCTTGAAATGACTGAAAAAATCGATATATTGATTTTTCACAATATCAATCAATATAGGATACCTACCTTAGAGATAAGATCATTATGGCTGGCTAGATTTGCACGACAATGTACACAACTATAGCATCGGTCACCCTCAGGCAAGTAGTGCTGAAATGAGTATGATTTGTACACAAAAAAATTAACTCGAACCAAAAATCAAAAATAAAAATTTGTAACAATCAAGTTAAATCAATAACATGTTTTTTATAGAAGCGAGCTGGCTTTACAGCCGGAAATTAATTTCGCATGGACGAAATTTGTAGCTGAATATATCTACTTACCGAACGGTGGGGGGGGGGTGAGGGGGCAAGAAGCACCTTCTTTCCTGTGCAGAAACTAACTCGGACCACCTTGTAAGTATGCTAGCTAAAAATTGCTGTTAAAATTATTCAAAGTTTTCTCGCGCCCGTTACAGTAGATCGATATATCGATTGGTTGAGAGCTGCATTTGTGCGCGTGAATAGGACGATCAATATATTGATTTTTTCAAGGAAGCAGGCATCGAGCTCTTGCATTGAAATCGTTGAAAAGTTCAGTCATTATTACACCAACGGAATAATTACGTTAATCTGATGTGAAATGTCGATAAGAAACTACAATTACAACCTTCATCCAATCGATTGTATTGATGTGTTCCCAACAATTGACAAATGTTTAGTCTAATCAAAAAACCACAGAAAGTGCAATTCTAAGAGTGCAGGATGCTTTTTCATGTTCTTCTTATGTTTGCTTGGTTTTTTCCCTTCACAAATTTACGGCATTCCCCGGGGCAGAGCGCAGTGTAGCAGAGCGCGCCCTTAGTGCAGCGCGGTCAGAGACGCAGAGGAGGCTGTGCACATTGCCACAACGCGAACGACGTTCATCTAGTCAGGCGATAAATTATAAAAATTAGGTCTAGCTCGAGGTTTATGACTTTAATTAATTTACAAAATATTTCAGAGATAAGAAAAATGATAAAGTTACCTGGAACGTCTTCGTCTTTTGCGTTTGATTATCCTTATTCGACGATTCCAGCACTTTCATCCTAGGAAAGAACCAATGTCGATATTTTGGAGCCAGGACTACACGTTTAAACTGAAATTGGAAAAATAGCATGGATTTTGAGAGACAACGAGACAGTTGAAGTAACGAAGTGCGAAACAGTAGATTTGCGTTTTTACACACAAAACATTGATAAGACATAAATGTAATGTTTTCGTGCTATAAATCATGCAGTAACTAAAGAACACTTGAATAAGACGTGGTCATAGGCGGGGATTTGAGTGGATGCGGGGGGGGGGGGGAAGAATACGAGAGAGGTGAAATTTGACAGCACTTCACGTGCACAAGAATTGGAAATGAGCATGGCAGACGAAGAAAAACGATTCGGACGAGGCTGAGGTGTTCATACATGTTTTAACATGGTTTCACATGTTTTAGTTATAAGTCAATGCATGTTCGTACCTGGTAGCGCAAGTCTAAATTCCAAGTTAAAAAATTCAAGTTTAAAAATTCAGACCTCAAGATTTCGAGCCAAGAGGCTCAAAACAGCTTGATGCCGAAAACCCCTAGATTCTGTTTCAAGGATTCCTTTTTCCTTGATGTTTCAAGGAGAAAGAAATCTGGTATCAAAATGGAAGGAAATAAAATGCATAAAAAGAAATGCGGATGAGATTTTACATTAGGTTGGCGGATTATTTCTGTTATACCTATTTCTGCAAAATTGTCAATTCCAGAAGCTTTTTTGAATCTTCAAATTTGCCTCTACTTGAGGCGAGACAGAGTCTGCACATCAGCATGACCGATGCCGCAAATGCACAAATAGCCAGAATTCTACTACAGTTTTGTAGACACACCCAAATTTTTATTATTCTGTAAATTTCTTTGATTTTTGTGGCATGCCTCAAACATTAGCTCTTTCGAAAGCTTCTTACAATTAGATTTATAAAAAATAAAAATAAAAGTCTAACAGAAATTTTCCGCCATTTTAATAGATGAAAATGAGTTTTGCTAATCCTCCAATTCCTAATGGGCGAAATTTGTATCTAATAACGTACATTCTTTCTGAAGAAAGGCGTGAGTCAACGTATAGCATTTGAAGCAACGACGTTTTACCGTATAATAGGATTAAACATTACAAGTAATCTTTGTGCTGCTGATCTTATATATAAAGCTGAATGTCTGTTTGTATGTCTGTCTGTATGTCTGTCTGTATGTCTGTCTGTATGTATGTATGTATGTATGTACGTATGTTCCGAATAGAAAATTCCATTTCTGAACCGATCCGGACCAAACTTGGCACACATACACTACGGGCCCCGGCGGGTGTCATAGGCTACTTTTCGTCATCGATCGATATCGATTTTATCGATTTTTATCGATTTTTTTGCTGAGTTCACCTACGGGGCTGGGAGTTGGCACAGGGGGGTAATCGAGCATGGGGATTCCGAATACAATATTGGTTTTCAGGATTATCGATTACTTTTATCGATTTTATCGATTTTTTTGCAAAGTTTGAGCTACGGGGCTGGGAGTTGGCACAGGGGGGTAATCGAGCATGGGGATTCCGAATACAATATTGGTTTTCAGGATTATCGATTACTTTTATCGATTTTATCGATTTTTTTGCAAAGTTTGAGCTACGGGGCTGGGAGTTGGCACAGTGGGGTAATCGAGCATGGGGATTCCGAATACAATATTGGTTTTCGGGATTATCGATTACTTTTATCGATTTTATCGATTTTTTGCAAAGTTTGAGCTAGGGGGCTGGGAGTTGGCACAGGGGGGTAATCGAGCATGCTGATCATCCCCAAGGGGGTGATCAGCATGCTCGATTACCCCCTGTGCCAAATTCCAGCCCCCTAGCTAAAATTTTGTAAAATCGATAAAATCGATAGAAGTAATGGATAATTCCAAAAACTAATATTGTATTCGTAATCTGCATGCTCGATTACCCCCCTGTGCAAACTCCCAGCCCCGCAGGTCAAACTTTACAAAAAAATCGGTAAAATCGATAAAAGTAATGGACGATCCTGAAAACTAATATTGTGTTCGTAATCAGCATGCTCGATTACCCCCCTGTGCAAAATCCCAGCCTCGCATGTCAAAATTTACAAAAAATCGATAAAGTCAATAAAAGTAACCGATAATTCTGAAAATAATATTGTATTCGGAATCCTCATGCTCACTTCCCCCCCCTGTGCCAACTCCTAGCCCTGTAGGTGAACTCTGCGAAAAAATCGATAAAAATCGGTAAAATCGACATCGATCGATAACGAAAAGTGGACTGTGACACGCGCCGGGGCCCGAAGTGTATGTGTGCCAAGTTTGGTCCGGATACGGCGGAGCCGGGTAAGCCAGCTAGTAACCCATAAAATTCAGCGACTTTTGGTATTAATGGTCTCAGATTGAATAATGAGAATTTGAAGATGGCAAGACAACCAACACATTGATTATACGTTATCCAACATCCACGATTATTTCCACATTAAGTCCCAGTAGCTCTGGATATCAATGAAATTATTTCCCTCCCCTTTCTTCCTTCTCCAGATATAACAAAATGCACAGGTTTCATAGGGTTCAACATAATCGAGAAAATGTGAAAGGTTGCTTTGTAATCCTCTGAACGTTTGACTATTTGCAATGTGCTATGCTTATGTCTTTCGTACTCTGAGTTTCTATGCAGATTATACGAAATTGAATAGGACATTCATACGTTCTCAATTGGAAGATTTCATGACGCAGAAATGCAGAAAAAGGCCACGGTTTATGTGTCCGTTTGCAGCAAATGTGTTTTTTCTCAAGTAGCCGCAATTTTCTCCATTTTGAATGAACATTAACATCACTGGATGTGAATAAAAAACGATAAAGCAGGTGGGGAGTCTATTTTGGTTGGTAATCATGAATTGAGCAAAGTCAATAAAACCCTTCGACGAATTATTCAATATAAGAATGTAAAAATATGTAAAAAAAAAAGATAGTGATGCCTAAATTGGCTAATTATATTGAAGACAAGAAAAAAAGACCTAATTCGCAACTGATAATCTTGAAGATCCTTTTAAGTTTCTATTATGACAAAAAGATTTTCAGAAATTTATATAGACCTCATAAACTTTTTTGAAGGCAACTTACCCCCCCCCCCAGGGAAGCCATATTCAAATGCCAACGAAAAGGTTTTTTTTCCTATAGTATCTGCTATCATAGAAGAACATCTAGACTTTCCATTAGAAAAGGAGAGCAGAAAGAAAAAACTCAAGGACCCTCGACAGTGTCAATCAATTTTGACAAGCACCCGCTGCCACTAGCGCTCTGTTGGTTTTCAAAAAGTTTCTTAGGAAAAACATCCGTTTACAGCTGAGTATTCAATTCATTGCGTAAAGAGTACAACATTGTAAAGAAGGAGCGACCATCGTTTAGCTCGAATTGTGTCAAGGATACAGAATTTCAAGGTCTTCCCATTGTGGTTTGAATGTGCAGATTTTTCCCGACCTTGTACCTCGTCGTTATCCTATATATACAGCTGAATGTCTGTCTGTCTGTCTGTACGTATGTTCCGAATAGAAAATTCCATTTCGAACCGATCCGGACCAAACTTGGCACACATACACTACGGGCCCCGGCGGGTGTCATAGGCTACTTTTCGTCATCGATCGATATCGATTTTATCGATTTGTTGCAAAGTTTGAGCTACGGGGCTGGGAGTTGGCACAGGGGGGTAATCGAGCATGTCACCCCTCTGCCAAATTCCAGCCCACTAGCTCAAATTTTGCCAAAAATCGATAAAATCGACATCGATCGATAACGAAAAGTGGACTGTGACACCCGCCGGGGCCCGAAGGGTATGCGTGCCAAGTTTGGTCCGGATCGGTTAAGAAATGGAATTTTCTATTCGGAACATACGGCGGAGCCGGGTAAGCCAGCTAGTTAGTAATATTTTTCTAGATCAATCGCCTTAAACAACTTGGATTTGAAATTCACTTATTATCCTCTGCTTAAAACAGGAAATTTTTGGAAATGGAAAATGAGGAAGATGGCACCTATCATGTCATGAAGAATGTAGCAAAACGCAAGGCGGAAAGGGAAAAATTATGCAGATTTCACTGTACCTACCTTCCCGCTCCACCCCCCCCCCCACATGTACCAACAGTCTTTCCAGGCTTACGAATAATCTACGGTACACACACCGTATCACAAATTCAGGTAATTCGCGGGACAGAAAGTAGTTATCCGATTTTCCCATAGATAAAGATTAGCGTGCTCTGAAGGATATGTTCTCACATCAAAAGAAAGCTACCGTATACCTACCGTGCCTCACACCTTAACATTTTCTAAAATGTTAATGGACTCGAAATGCAAAACTCAAAATGTTCTTCTTGGAAAATGAAACTTTTAGCAACAGTATATCTTCAACTTGTATACAAGCTATGTACTTTTTTTGAAAAATCAAAATTAGTTCTACCGTATACCCACCATTTCTCTTAAAGGTTCGGCTACATGCGATGTCAGGGACGAACAATGTGGAGTCCATAGAATTCATCTTAGTTCAAAATGAGAAACGAAAAGGAAAAGTTTTAGAAAAAATGTGTTAATTAAATATTGCCAATCTGCACGAGATGATTTCTACCGTAGGCCTACCGTTTCTTTACAGTCTATACATGTGCATGACATGTTAAGGACGAGCATAAGTATGTGACATGCTAGAAGATGTATAATAGCATTGAAAAAGTATAAAATATTGATTCAGGGCCTATTTGCAAGGATCAAAGTAGTTTATACCATCAGCAATGTTTCTCCAAAGTAGACGACCCCACCTTATAAGGAAGACCACTAGACGGCGAATATGGACAGGGATAGGATTGTGGCAAAATTTTTTCAGCTTAAGTGGAGAAGATGTTACTGTAGACCTAGCCTTGCTCAATAGTCTGCAAATGCACATGACATGTTGAAAAGAACGAGCATGTGATTAATTCACGGCCTTTGCACGAATGAAAACAGTTTTTTTCCATAATCATGTGTGTTTAACCCCAAAATAGTCCAATAAACAATAACAGAATGTAAAAAGTCAACAGTTTGTAGGCAACACATTGTTATGGCCATGTTTTTCCGTACAGTCACGCGCGCTTTACCGCAAGCGCTTTCGTTCGCTCGCTCCACGTTGCATGTTTTATGTTCGCGTTCTCATCTCTTGCGATGTAAACAATATAAAATGAATTGCTTGCACGTTCAAACGACAGCGGCAAGAACAGCACACAGTTGCCGAATGTCAATTGGCAAGAAAAGAGCAAAGTAATACATCCACCACACGAGAAAGAGTTCGTTTTCATGAATGTGTAATATGAGTTATGAGAAAAAACAGATGTGAGTTCTGATGCTAGCTATGAGTCTTTCTCAGATAGATTTTTGATTTGTATTTTTCATATTTGGTATTGCCAACAATCACACGTATGAGGTTTTTTTTTGCGAATAGATTTCCTGTAAGTTTTTCAGATTTATTCGGTTCAACGAGTTTACATTGCAGTCCTAACATTACTGTTCATGCTGCACTATGATGACATCTTTGATTTCAAAGTTCCAAGTACAGTTGTTACAAATTCTGTTCACCAAAAGAAATACTAAGGTTTTATGGATTTCTATCCCCACAACTTTGCTTGGTTGAAAATTTTTCTTTGAGATAGGTAAAAACTTAAAGCGACCAATTTTGCAAACTTTATCTGGGAATTTTTATCGGATATTATTTCGATAAATAGTTCGATTTTTATAATCTTTCCTTCATAAACTCACAGAAGTTCTAATTAAAGTTACTATTATACAATTTCCTTTTACTAGATACAAATTCCTAAATTCATGTATCTCATAAAAAAAGAAATGCGCAGCTTAGTTTTAAGTTCGTCCACAAATAAATCCCACACCAATTTTTCAGAATTGATTAACATTACTGTTTCTCAAACAATTTGAAAATTACTATTTTGGCATTTATTTGCGATTTATTATTTTCTTTTCAAGCGTTGATTAGGGTTAAAAATTCCGTATTATGGCTACGAGATTTACAGATTTTGTTTACTAATTCGTTATTGATTTTATTTGAGCTTATTTTTACGACCATTTATCTAACAAAGTTCTTGGCTTCCAGATCCAGCGAAACATTAGAAAATGCATTACAAAGTCTGTTCAATGAAGAAACTTTCGAATTTATTTTTATTCAAAACGTCTTTGAAAAGTGCTGGCAATATAAGTATGCGCATAACAATGGGCAAACGGAACTGAGAGCTTCTGAAAGTTCCTATTTTTAGATGATCACCACTTAGAGAAGAATATTTGTTTTGAAAGAGACTTGAAACAAAAAATGTAAACATTAAAACATGTGAGCAGGTAAACACTCTACTTAAAATAAAACTAACATCAGAATCCACCCTGTTTTCAAAATATACTTGTCATAGTGGATGTATCGCTTTAAATAGCTCAAATTGGAAAAAATTATGTGATTATTCAGCCTTTTTTAAAGAAAATACGATTAACTTTGTATGAGCAGTGGCTTGGAAACAAGTACACATAAATCGATAAAAATGATGAATGCAACTGAATGCCAAGCATAATGGTTCTTATAAACTGAAATCGGAGCTCTGAGATTTTTTTGAAGTGTTCTGGACATTTGAATGCGATAGGAAATTCAGAAAAGCGCTTTCACTTTTTATAAGATTTTTTTCACAAGAATTTATCGCGGATTATTTTTTTTCTCGTTGACATTTTGTCGGATAACACATAACACTAATTCACTGTTTGTTTTCAAAATGTTCCCGCGGGGAAATAGAGATTGATGTCGATAATGGGGGCAATCTCAACGGGGTTCTCCCCCTATACTGGTTCCTCTGTGTATGTAGTTCAACACAAGGGCAATTGTCACAAAATGACTGCTGTCTACTGCAGTAAATAATTTCCGCAGTGGGAAAATTGATTCGAACGTGATATAAAGGGGAAAAAGAAATTTTTGCTGAGTCGGGAAGAGGGGGGGGGGGGGGGAATTGCGGAGGCAGGATAGAGAAAGATCGCTTTCACGGCATATTTGAGTCGAAAGGAAATAGAAAAAGCTGGCTGGATAGATCAAATTTCCAACGCTATAGGACGGAACTGGAAGAGCTGGATCCTTTCAACGGTCAGATAGAGAAAAATCACAATTTTTTACACAATTTTCGACCCTTCCCCCCTCTTGGTCTTCTCATTGCAAAAATTGCTGACCCCAAAACTAGACGGACGCAACCTAGAAAAGCGTGGAATTACCGGAGCAATTACGAAAAATTGCAACAATTTTCGTGCTGAGTGACAAATTCCCTCGAAAACTAGGTTGCCCTTTGTGTCGGGGATGAAAAAACACCAGACTCACAAGAGAACTGGAAAATAAACTCTAATAAGTGGATTTTCTTGAAAAATTGCTGTTGTGGGACCAGGCATTAGTAGTAGGACGAGAAGAATACATTGGAAGTTGTGCTAGTAGAGGACAACTGACACAAAAGCTATTCATCCTAGTAAGCCCACATATGGATCAGAGTTATGAAAATAGGCTTCAGCTAGATAAAAGGAAAGTCCCCTAGTTTGGAATGTTGTGGCAAAGGACAACTGACGCAAAGCTTTTCTTCTCTATAGAAAGTCCATTTATGGATCAGAATCAGCTGATGTTTTCCCACATCTGTTTTGCTTGGTTTTAGTCAAGGCTGTCGACGTTTATGAATAAAAGAAACTAATGCTGTGCCCTGATTTTCAGGCTATAGCAGCTAGATGAACTGAACAATCAACTTAAATGGGTTAAGAACTAGTTCTCTGAGAAAATTTCATATAAAACTCAGGCAAAATCAAGCGCTCACACGGCTGAGACTCCTGTAAACCCTAAGCCCCTCCCCTTTATCTCACTCCTAGAAAGTAAAAGATCCAGAACGATATTGAGAACTGTGCAGGCGGCAAGGCACGGCCGGCTCTGCCGTGGCTAGTGAGAATCGAAGTCGGGGCGGAGCGCGGGCTGTCCGCCGCTGCAGCGCGGCCGCGGCGCCGCGCCGCCGCGCTCGCGAAGGAGAACCCTGTCAAAGCGGCCCGCATGGCATGAGATTCTGGTTAAATGACAGGTTTCTGCGATTGACAGATGGAAAATGATGTTTATTAGGAAATTTTGAGACGACCAGGGGAAGGGGTGTCGGGAAAAGAAAATCAATGCGAAGCAGCAATGCAGTTATTTCTCTACCCAAAGAAATAACGCTGAAGAAGAATTTATAGGCCAATGATATAGGAAAATGTTAGCGAACACTCGGTGAGAGCTGTATAAGCTCTAAGCGTCACAAAAATTCCATATCACTTAGTAATGCAACATATGAAAAAATCGTGGAAGTGCGTCATTTCCCCGCATTACAGATGTTTCTAAGGTAAAAAAGAAATCTTCCAGGAAAATGTCAGAGTTCTAGGGTAGTATGAGGACCCACTTGAAGTTTTAGCATATTTTTCGAACTTGCAGTAAGAATTTTTATGGGCAAGCAGTTCTTCGCAAGAATTAATGTGCCGCCAAGCTACCGATTGATTTTATGCATTCTGCGCCTTCGATTAATCTATACAAATAAAAGTTTCGAAATAATCTACATCGAGCGTTTGCATTCTATTCGAGATGCAGAATGTCAATTTATGCATCCCAAAATAGAATTTCGTTTTTTTTATAGACTGCCAACAATTCCTTCCATAGCAGAACACACCCCGTGTAGAAAAGGAAACTAGAAAACTTCCCGACACATTTCGCCCGAACTTCTCATTTCTAGGAAGTCTCTTATTTCAAAAAATGTCCGTCATTCTGCCCATCTCAAAGCAAGTGTCCTTCACTAACATTGAAAAACCTTTGGGGTTTCTTTTACAGCCGAAAGCTAATCTTCATTCACTTGACGTAGCTATCTATCGATCAAACCGCTTCAGAAACCATAAAAGAAGAAAATCTACGATATCGGAAGTATTACATGCAAGAGAAATGAAGCGAAAAAGTTTTTAGCAGTGGCTAAGAGCGAAATTGTCTTTTTTACTGTTCGAAAGGGTTTACTACATAATGCTCGTTTCAGCAAGGTCGCGAGTTCATTTCCCGGCATCCGCAATTATTTTTGCAAAGCATAAATAGCTGGAAACTTTTTGCCAAAAGTGAATAAGTCTGATTAAAAATGTCGATTTAGTCCAGAAAACCATAAACTGTATCCGCAATATCAAAAGCTTCACCGCATCAACAAATGTGCACGGATGGCCGAGTGGTCTAAGGCGCCAGACTCAAGCGCATTGCTTGCCGCGAGTATCAGCGGTTCGAAGCCTGGGCATTCTGGTTCTCGTACGAGAGCGTGGGTTCAAATCCCACTCCGTGCAAAACGTTTTGCATTTATCTTAACATCTTAATTTTTGATGCTGATTGATCTACTGCTTCCAAAAAGGACAAGTTCACTGTGAAAATGCATAAATTCGCCAAAATTCCCTTTTTGGCCTCATTTGGCCAATGCTTGCCTACAAAACGATAAGATCAGGTCATGTTTGTGAAAAATTGATTCGATTTAGTTGGAAAGTTTTTCCAAGGACAGGTTCTACCACCCATTTTGCTTGAAAATAAAGTTGTTCATGAGAAAGTGAAAATCTCATTACGGAAAGTTTTACCAAAAAGGGAGATCGAAGGAGCAGATTAATTGGGGGTTTTGCGAAGGTGCTTATCGGCTATCATTAAAAATAAGTCAGATCTGACTAGAATTGATCAAGCAATTAGAAACGTTGAATATAAGTAAAAAATTTTGTAAAAATCTTTGTTTCGCTAGTGCTCATAAAAAATTTGCTTTCGGAAGAGAATTTCTCCCCTTAGGAATGTTTGAAAATTTTATTTTCCGAAGGAGAAAAATGCTTTTGGAAGAGGAGTTTTCCCCGTCAGGAACGTTTGGAAAATTTGTTTT